TGGAGCTCTCGCTGTGCTTTGTGAGTCTCTTCTGTTGCCCGGAGGTAACCAAGGATTAAAGACAGGCGGTGCACAAACAGATAGGGCGGGGCATTCTCATCTTGCTTTAGCCAAGTCACTTTCTTCTTTCTCTCTCTTAAATTACTGGGCATTGGATTGGCTAGGATTATATCTGAATCTTACCTACTCAGGAGGCTGAGATCTGAGAATCACAGTTTGAAGCCAGCCTGGGAAGGTTTGTGTAACTCTTACCTGTAATAAACCAGGAAAAAAAAAACAACCCCACCAGAAGTGGTGGTGTAGGTCAAGTAGTAGAGTTTCAGCCTTGAGCAAAAAAACTAAGCAAGAAGCCAGGCGCTGGTGGCTCACGCCTGTAATCCTAGCTACTCAGGAGGCTGAGATCTGAGGATCGCGGTTCAAAGCCAGCCCGGGCAGGAGAGACCGTGAGACTCCTATCTCCAATAAACCACCAGAAAACCGGAAGTGGCGCTGTAGCTCAAGTGGTAGAGCATTCGCCTTGAGCTGAAGAGCTGAAGGACAGCGCCCAGGCCCAGAGTTCAAGCCCCACAGCCGACCAAAAAAAAAAACTAAGCAAGAGCACAAGGCCCTGAGTTCAAGCCCCAGTATACACATACATACATACATACCAGGGAATATAATATCAATCTTGAAAGTTACAAGATTTGTAGTCCGCACTATAATAGCTCTCACAGAGGCCTAAATCCTAAACCTAGGGACTTGTTAAAGTGTTCGGTTACATGTCAAGGGGAATGCAGTTTTCAGATGAATGAAGATTGCCAATTGGCTGACCTGGAGATAGGAAGAATATCTTGGATTGTCCAGCTGTGCTTGGAGGAAAGGAAGGCAGAAAACAGAGAGCCAAGACAGAGGCTGCAAAGCAGTGGGAAAGAGGCAAGCCTTCCTGACTTTGAAGGTTTACAGGTATGCGCCTCAAGTACCTGGCAGAGTCTCTGTCTTCTTACCAGTAAATGGTAGGGGCAGAGTGGCCCGATCACTATACTCTTGCAGCTGTGACAGCCAATACTGACAGCTGTGAGCACTTGGCCACGTAGGCCCTTCTACTCAGTAAATTTAGAAAGCCTGCCACAGGCTTGGAAGCTCACTGTAGCAGTTGGAGACGGGCCTGACTTTCCCCTGAACTGGAGGAATGGGAACAGGGGGAAGTAGGGAGAGGAGTTGGAGGGAAGACCTGCCAGCTTCCTGGGTCCACTGTGGTCAGCCCTTCACCCAGAGCCTGTCACAGCAGACATGGCAGCACACGCTAAACTGCAGACCTGCAAGACTTGCATGCCTTCTTTTTTCCTGGTGCCAGTACTGGAGCATGAACTCAAGACCTGTAAGCTGGCCCTGAGCTTTTGTGCTCAAGGCTAGCATCCTACCACTTTGAGCCACGCAGCTTACTTCTAGCTTTTTGGTGTCTAATTGGAGAAAGGAGGATCATAAACTTTTCTGCCAAGGTTTTGAATTGAGATCCTCAGATCTCAGCTTCCTGTGTAGCTAGAATTACAGGTGTGAGCCATTGGCACCCAGAAGCTTCTGACTCTTAAGCTCATGTGATCCCTGATGGGACTGGAGTAACAGTTTGAAGAAAAACAGCCTAAGGGGTTGAGATCATAATCTAGTGGTAGATCACTTGCCTAGGTTGTACAAGGACCGGGGTTTGATCCCCAGCTCTGAAAAACAAAACCCAACCAAATAGCTGAGGCTAATAGATAATCAGATGATGTGTGTATGTAAAAGCTATTTTTAAACTGGGCATAGTGGCACACACCTGTAATTCCAGCACTCCAGAGTCTAAAGTAGTAGGATTGCATGTTTGAGGCTAGCCTGGGTGACATAAAGCGTCTCAAAACACAAAACTCAAGGTATGGCTCAGGTGATAGAACAGTTGCCTAGCAAGTATAAGGTCCTGAGTTCAATCCTCAGTGCCACCAAACCAAACAAAATGAAATTTTGTCCTAACCTTGATCTAAGTCCATTCTGCAACCACCTGGGCTCAAGCCCAGGTAGGGTTATTTGGGGCCTGGCAGCTCTGGGCACCACTTGATCATCTTACAAGGGTAAGATTCACATGATGTTTCTGTCCTGGCCAGTGAGGACCTTGACCCCAGTCCCTCTGGAGCTAGCTTAGTTTTTCCATCTTAGGGCATTCAGGGCAAGGTCATGCCAAGAAATGTCTCACTCAGTTTCAGTTCTCAGGACAGTGAGCATTGGACCCTGAAATAGGTTGTCCCTTAATTTAAATTTTTTTTTAATTTGAAGGCCTAGCAGCCACAAGGCCCTGAGTTCAATCCCCAGTACTACCCAATTATACTCCCCAGTTGTCCCTTAGTTGTGGGAACCTAAATGAAGTTTGAATCTAGTCTAGTTTCTGCAACTTTCCTCCTTTCCTTTGTTGGACTTTCCCATTCGTCTTGGCCCAGCTGGACCCGATGTGGCATCTTTGAGAGGAGGAACAACGCTGAACCCCCTGAAAAGGTCCCATGCCTCTCTCCCTGCTCCACTCCCAGAACTTGTCCAGCCTGACCCCTTACAACCCCTTGTCTTTTGATCTGGCTCAAGACTGGTGACATTTTACCCAGGGCCTTCTGTCTGTGAAGGAGACCTGGAGTCAGTCTCAGTCTAGAGTCACTGGTGGCTAATGCTGGTCGTGCAGGCCTATCTCAGATTTTCCTCATGTACTCTGCATTCATTCATGCTCACAGCTCTTATTCCAACTGCTGATTCACTCAGGTTCAAGCCCAGGGTCATGTCTAGGGATAGACTAACCTCAGATAAGATTAAAATATGTGTGTCAGAAGCAGAGTAATGTGATAAGACAATGTGTTTGAGAGGAACCTGCAAATTCAGAGGCCATAACTAATTGCTGCAGGCCTTTTTAGTATTATGGATGAGACAGGGGAGGTTCAGGGCTGCTCCAGGCAACTGGGCCAAAGAGGCAGAGGGCAGCTGCTCCTGGGGCTCTCCTGGCCTGTCTCCACGCTGCAATCAGCTCTCCTAGTCCTGACCACCACAGAACATGCTGTTTGCCAGTTTCCAACCGGTGACCCTGGGCCTGGGTTAAAATCACAGGAACTAAGGCAGAGTTAATTGCCCCCAGGGGCCTGGCTATAGATCCAAATGGAGTTACACAATCAGAGCTGGAAAGGTTTTCTTTTCAAAAGTTTCCAAGCCTTTCCATTTATATTGGGGATACTCGAGCCCTGAAATCTGTTTGCAGTGCAAATTGGTTGGTGGAAAAAACTAGAACCCAAATGACAAGGTCCAGGCTTAAGGTCTCTTGCTGTGACTACTGTTCAGAGATCCTGGATATCCTAATATAAGAGGAATCCATTTTATTTATTCATTTTATCTTCTCTTTTTTTGGGGTGGAGGGGGTTGGTCGTGGGGCTTGAACTTGGCCTGGGCCTGTCCCTCAGCTCTTCAGCTCAAAGCTAGCGCTCTACCACTTGAGCCACAGCGCCACTTCTGGCTTTTTTCTTTTTGCTTATGTGGTGCTGAGGAATCGAACCCAGGGCCTCAAGCATGCAAGGCAAGCACTCTACCACTGAGCCACCTTTCCAGCCCTCTTCTCTTTTTTACTTCTTTGTTTTATCCTGGTATGGGGGCTTGAATGCAGGACCTGGGTGCTGTCCCTTAGCCTTTTTTTTTTTTTTTGCTCAAGGTTGGTACTCTACCACTTGAGCCACAGATTGACATTTGGCTTTTTGTTGATTAGTTGGAGATAAAGGGTCTCCGGGACCTTCTTGTTTGGGTTGGCTTTGAATCTCAGTTCTCAAATCATAGCCTCCTAAGAAGCTAGGATTACAGGCCTGAGCCACCAGCATCTAGTTCCCCATCTTCTTGAGGAGAAAATATTTGAGAATTTCTTTTTTCCTAGTAAAGGTCAAAAGCAATGTTTGAGGGCTCCAAGTGGATTACTCAAATGTTTGCTTAAGTAATCTGTTGAAGTTATTTTTTATTTTGCTGGAAACCAAACTCATGGCCTCCTGTATGTTAGACAAATACCAGGTATCTAACTACTAAACCACATAATCAGACCTAAGAAAAAATTAAATTCTTTTCCTTCATGTATGTGTGCATGCATGCGTGATTACATGCGTGTGCGTGCATGTGTGTGTGTATGTGTGTGTGTGTATGTCCCCCAGTACTGGGACTTTAACTGAGGATCTTGAGCTCTTGCTTAGCTTTTCCCTCAAGACTGGTACTCTACCACTTGTGCCATACCTCTACTTCTGCCTTTTGCTGGTTCACTGGAGATAAGTGTCTCAGAACTTTCTACCCAGGCTGGCTTTAAACTGGAATCCTAAGTAGTTCCTAAGTCTCCTAAGTAGCTAAGATTCCAGGGATCAGAAAAGTTAGATTCTTTAACCTTACATATTGATTTTGAAAAAAAAAAGACTTTTCTATTCATTAGGAAGCAATTTTATATATATTTTTTAACCCTGCCGGCTGATTGAGGTCAGACCCGGCTACTGTGTCTTGCAAAGAGTTTTGTTCATAATAGAATACATGATGAAATCATTCTCTACAAGAAAGCCCATCAGAACCTGAGCATGGCCTAGATCCCTTTCTGGTGGGTATCTAAGCCCTGACTTCAGTGTTCTTTGTCTACATTTATGCGGTTTTATTTCAGGACTCTCCTTCCTTGTTCATTTCACAATGAGGAAGTGAACTCTGAGCATTCAAGGCTACCCTTGGCAGGCAGCAAAGAGGCCTGACCGCAAGTGACCTGGAAGAATTATCGCTTGCCCTGCTGTCCAATGAACCAGTTGGCAAGGGGAAAAGCTTTCTTCTATCTGGCATTGCATGATCCTGAAGGAAGAACTGGGCTCTTGCTGTGGTAATCATGCAGCATTGAAATGGCAAGCAGAAGGCTGGCAGGTCTACCCCTGGGCAGATGGATCACCTGATGCAGACGTTGGATCCCATACTCTGGGATTGGCTTAAAATGGGGCTGTGTTGAACCAGCCTCCAGGCCTTGGCATCTCGTCAAGCTGCCATTAGATCCAAAGCCTAGAAATAGTGCTGAAAACGTCTGCCGGACTCAGATTGTGGAAGCAGGCAACCATGCAGGTGCTAAACAAACGCTACCCTAACAACTGCCTGCTGACTGTCATGGACCGGTACTCAGCTGTGGTACACAATATGGAGCAGGTGGTGATGATACCCAGCCTCCTGCGGGATGTACAGCTGAATGGGCCTGGGGACCGGGCACAGGACACCCCTGATCTCTATACTTACTTCACCATGCTCAAGACCATCTGCCTGGAAGTGGAACATGGGATGCTCCCCAAGGAAGAATGGCTGGCCAAGGTGGCAGGTGTCCACACTGACAAGGCTGAGAATGAAATTGCCGAGAGAGTGGAGGCCCAGGAAGAGAGGGTCTCAGAGTTGGACCTGGAGGCCCGGTTCCACCTGCACTTCTCCAGCCTTCATCACATCCTGACCCACCTTACCCTGAAAGCCCAGGAGGTGACAAGGAAGTACCAGGAATTGACAGGCCAGATCCTGTAGGCTGAGAACTCTAGGGTAGGTAATGGTGGCCATGCTAGAGTCCTCTGAGAGATATTTAGGGGAGGGGGAGAGGAAGTAGTGGTATCGCCTAATGGGGACAGCTTGGCTCAGTAAGAGCTGTCGTAAAGACAGGTATTCAGAGCATCACTGGGGAGCACCTGAGACTGGGGCAGCCCTACCAGCTAGCTAACCCAGTATGCATGAACATGATGAGCCTTAATGGAACCAAGAAAGTGGCCTGTGAGTAACTATCTCAGGGGGACATTATGTGTTTTTGTATGTGTGCATTTATTTGTAAGTATGAATACATGTAAATGTGTGAATTGAGCAAACATTCTCTCAGCTGACTTCTTTAAAAATCTGATTAGAAGCTGGGTACCAGGGCTGGGAAGGTGGCTCAGTGGTAGAGCGCTTGCCTTGCACGCATGAGGCCCTGGGTTCGATTCCTCAGTACCACATAAGCAAAAAGAAAAAAGCCGGAAGTGGCGCTGTGGCCCAAGTGGTAGAGCACTAGCCTTGAGCTGAAGAGCTGAGGGACAGTGCCCAGGCCCAGAGTTCAGGCCCCACTACCGGACCCAAAAAAAAAAAAAAAAAAACCAGAAGCTGGGTACCAGTGGCTTACATCTGTAATTCTAGCTACTTAAGAGGCTGAGATTTGAGGCTCATGATTTGAAGCCAGCACCATCAGGAAAGTCTGAGACTCTTATCTCCAACTAAGCACAAATAAGCCAGAAGTAGAGGTGTGCTGAAGTGGTGGAATGGAATTAAGAAACAGTACCCAGGACCTGAGCTCAAGCCCCAGTATTGGCATGGGCATGTGTGTGCACACACACACACACACACACACACACACACACACACACACACACAGAGAATCTGATGAAAGCTATGGGCTCTAGTTCAGGTATACAGATAACTGTATATAATTCAGGGAATGTGCCATACCACTAAGGCCCATCCAGGCATCCGTAGCTTCTCTTTAAGCACAAGCGAAGTGCCAATGCAGCCATCACACACTCAACATAGAAACGTTTTATTTATTCCTCACAGTCATCCTACAAAGATGGTATTTTTTGTTTTGTTTTTGAGGCAGGGTCTCCTTATTTAGCCTGGCCTGACCTCTAACACATGATCCTCCTGCCTCAGCCTCCCAAGTGCTAGGAAGAAAAGATGTGTGCCATCATTCTTCACCATCAAAGATGAGTTTAAGGGGCTGGGAAGGTGGCTTGGTGGTAGAGTGCTTGCCTAGCATGCATGAAGCGCTGGGTTCAATTCCTCAGTACCCCATAAACAGAAAAAGTCGGAAGTGGCGCTGTGGCTCACATGGTAGAGTGCTAGCCTTGAGCCAAAGAAGCTCAGGGGCAGTGCCCAGGCCCTGAGTTCAAGCCCCAAGACTAGCAAAAAAAAAAAAAGAAAGATGAGTTTAATTCCATTTTGCAAATGAAGACACTTAACCCAAGGGAGGTGTATCGGCTTAGGTGTACGTTGTGAAATCTGTGTGTGTGGCAGTGCGTTCCAGTGTCTAATCAAGTCAGAACTTGCAAAAGTGTACTTACGAGGCATGCTGTTGAGGCTGCTTACGGTACCCCCTTTGCAATGGGCAGGGGTGAGCTTGCCATTCCAGGTTGCAACCAGCCTACAGGAAAGCCAAGGGACTGGACACTGACACTCACTTTGTGGAAGCACCAAGGTGCTGGGAAGCCCTGCTGTGTGTTCACATGTGTGTGTGCTGGAGTCTGAGCCCAGATATCCCCACAGGGGTTGGGTTGTCAGGTGTGAGTGGGCTTGGTCCATTCCTGAGTGTCCCTCATGGGTAACGAGTGGGAGAAACTGGACCATGGCACTTGCCAGGTCTGGTTTATTGTTTTGTTTGTAGCACTGGGGATTCAGACCCAGGACCTTGTGCAAGTAGGTTATGGCTCTACCACTGCGTCACATCCCCAGCCTACTTGCCACCCATGCTTTATGATAAACTAGCTTCATCAGTTACAAACCACATCCATATCCATCGGAACCTCAAAGGTTCCTAAGGTAGGTAATATGGAACAGGATTTTTATCTCTTTTACTAGGAAAGGAATTAAAGCCAGAGAGGCTAAATGACTCAAATGTATATAGGAAGAGAACAAAACCAAGACTAGAGCCAAGTACAGTGATACATGCCTGTAATCCCAGTACTTAGAAGGCTAAGGCAGAAGGATTTCAAGTTCAAGGCCAGCTTGGGCAAAAAAAAAAAAAAAAAAAGCAAGCAAGGTAGGTTCCGTCTTTGAACTGAGTGTTCTGTCCATCATACCACTCTGCTATTCTGAGTTAATGAAATGGCCACTTCCCCCACAGGGCCTACAGAAACATCATTTCAGGTACTTTCTTCAGCTCAAAGCCAAACTGAACTTCAACCCTGTTTTTGGCTCCCCTTGAGGCTTCCTGGACTGCCTTCCAATTTTTTTTTTGTCAGTCCTGGGGCTTGAACTCTGGGCCTGGTCGCTGTCCTTTAGCTTTTCAGCTCAAGGTGAGTGCTCTACCACTTGAGCCACAGCGCTATTTCTGGTTTTCTGGTGGTTTATTGGAAATAAGAGTCTTATGGACTTTCCTGCCTGGGCTGGCTTTGAACTGTGATCCTCAGATCTCAGCCTCCTGAGTAGCTAGGATTACAGGCATGAGCTACCGGTGCCCAGCCCAAAGGTTTTTTGTTTTGGTTGGCCATAGGGCTTGAACTCTGGGCTTGGGCACTATCCCTGCACTCTTCAGCTCAAGGTGAGCACTCTACCGCTTGAGCCACAGCGCCACTTCTCCCAAAGGTTCTTGAATTAAGCCAGGGGCCTCAGGGGAGCTGAGTCTTGTCTTGCTTCCAGCACTAATGAGCTGTGAGGCCTTGGCTTTGGGTTCATCTCCTCACTGCACGATAATGACAGTAAAAATAACAACTAGCATTGAGTAGTGTATAAATCACTTGCCTATTAATTATCTAATGAACTATTACCTTTAACAGATTAAAAAAATAAAAACAAAAACCCTGGAGGTCTGAGAAGTAAAACAAACTACAGATTGAATAAATTGCAAAATCTTGGTCTAACTCTAATCTCACTCCCTATGTCCACACGGCCGATTTTCTGATCCTTACAGTCTCAGAATTCTGCAGTCTTAGCTAGGGGCAGGATTGGGAATTAGCATTATCTAATAATGTGGCAATAATTCCGCCAGGTGCTGCTAGTGGCTCATGCCTGTAATCCTAGCTACTCAGGAGACTGAGATCTAAGGATCACAGTTTGAAACCAGCCTGGGCAAGAAAGTTCATGAAACTTTCTCCAATTAAACACCCCAAAAAGCCAGAAGTGGAGCTGTGGCTCAAAGTGGTAGAGCACTAACCTCGAACAAAGCTCAATGAAAATGCACAGGCCCTGAGTTCAAGCCACAGGACTGGAACAAAAATAAATGTAGAGAAGTCAAACAAGTGATCCTAGGATAGTCTTTGACTTTCCAGACTTGAAGTGCTGCCAAATTTCCAAAAGCAATGTCAACATTTGTTTTTCATTGCACTTTCTACTTCAGTAGGCATGTGACAGCACTTCAGTTGTTTGCACTTGTACTGATGTGGCTTTTTAAATTTTTATGCTCTCCCCAGGTCACTCTCCCGGAGTGGGGATGACTCACAGCAAGCAGTTCATCAGCCTGGAGAGCAGCAAGACTGGGATTGGCAGCTGGAAGTGAAGGCGGCTTGTGTCTCAGGGATGCTTCTGGACCTTCTTCCGAGAACCAATTTTTGGAATCCAATCACTGGCCAATCTGAGGATGTTTGTTGCAATTTTTAACTCCCTCATGCAGCTCAGGATGGTGACCAGTGTGGTTCAAGAGGGACTGGCTGTTAGTCTAATGTCTAGTGTGGAACAGTAGAAAGAGCCAATGTGTTGACCATGAGCAATGCTTACATCCCTCCTCTTGGCAGTTATCCACTCTAGTGATCTCAGGCAAGTTATTCACACAGGAGTCTAAATTCCCTCAGGTGTAGAATAGGAATACGGTTACCTACCTCACAAAGTACAAAAACAAAGCAAGACAAATCAAAAGCACCTATGAGAGCCATTAATAATAGGCTATTTCTCTCACACTCTCCTCTGTATTTTCTCTGTTCCTTCCCTTTTATCTTCTAGAACTAAGAGGTGAGTGGCTCACCTGATACCTGCTGATCACTGAAGTGTCCCAGTGAACCATAAACCTATTTATTGCAGTAACAAATAAAAAATCTAAAACCAACCACCTGCATTTACACATTTCATTATTTCTCAAGCCCTTTCTCTGACAGTTACACAGTTTCACTTTTTTTTTTTTTTAACAAGTGGCAGAATTCTTTGGATTTTGGCCAGAAACCATTTGGCATTATGCATACAGCCACCCAATTTAGAATCATGTATGTAAGTTTGTGTATATATGTTTTCCTAATCTCTAAAACCTGATTACAAAATCTAAACTTGAAAAATGTCACTGATGGAAGAAGTCAGTTGTCTACATAATCCTAGCCATTCAGGAAGCTGAGATCTGAGGATCATGGTTCAAAGCCAGGCCAAGCAGGAAAGTCTGTGAGATTCTTTTATTTTATTTTTTAAATTTTTTTGGGTCATGTCGCAGGGCCTGAACTCTGGGTCTGGGCGCTGTCCTTCAGCTCTTCAGCTCAAGGTTAGCGCTCTACCACTTGAGCCACAGTGCCACTTCCGGCTTTTTTCTTTTTGCTTATGTGGTGCTGAGGAATTGAACCCAGGGCCTCGGGCATGCAAGGCAAGCACTCTACCACTGAGCTACCTTCCCAGCCCCATCTGTGAGATTCTTATCTCCAAGTTATAAGCAATAAAGCTGAGTGAGGTGGCTTGAGTCTGTCATCTTAAACTATGTAGGAGGAGGAGGCTGAGATTGAGAGGACTGACATTCCAGTCAGTGTATGCAGAAACGTCTGATTCCATCTCAAATGAAGAAGCTGTGGGGAGAGTGGTTGCATGAACCTGTCATCCCAGCTAAAACCTGTAAACCTAAAACAAGTGGTACACAGTCCAGGCACAAAACAAGACCCAATCTCAAAAATAATCAGCACAAGCTGGGTGTTGATAGCTCACACCTATAATCCTAGCTATTCAGAAGGCTAGGATCTAAGGACTGTGGTTTGAAGCCAGTCTGGTAAAGTCAGCAAAACTAATCTCCAATTAAGTACCATAAAAGCCGGAAGTGGAACTGTTACTCAAGGGCAGAGAGCTAGCCTTGAGTGAAAATGCTCAAGGATAGCTCCTTAGCCCTGAGTTCAAGCCCCAGGACCAGCACCAGCACCCTCCCCTGTCCCCACGCCCCTCAAACCTGCATGATAAAGAGCTGGATGAATGGCTGAGAAGTAGTACGTGCCTATGAAAAGTGAGGCCCAAATTCAAACTCTACTAATGCCAAACAAACAAACAACAAAAAAAAACCCCAAGTCAGAGTAGTCATAACTATTTTAATTATAGGTATTAACATCTAGATTAACACAAACTTCAGTTGTCATGGAAACATGTTCCATAAAATTAAGAAATAAGAGGAAATAGAAGCAAGTTTTTGAAGACTTCAACGTACTGGATGGAATTCTTCAAGAATTTCACCATAAGTTTTCTTTTCTATAAAAGAGCATGAAAAATTTATTTTCAAAATTATGTTTAAAAATTGTATTTTTTGTTGGGGGTCAGTGGCTCACACCTATAAGCCTAGCTACTCAGGAGGCTGAGATCTGAGGATTGAAGTTCAAAGACAGCCCAAACACGAAACTCCATGAGACTCTTATTTCCAATTAGCACCAAAAAAGTTGGAAGTGGAGCTGTGGCTCAAGTGGTAAAGTGCTAGCCTTGAGCAGAAAAGCTCAGGGACAGTGCCCAGGCCCTGAGTTCAAGCCCCAGGACTGACACACTGACACACACACACACACACACTAAATAAATAAATTACATTCTTAATCTTACCTGTTATGGTCTCAATGTTTGTGTCCCCCAAAGAATTCACATGTTGAAACCTAGTTTCCAAGCTACAGTGTTAAGAGGTGAGGCCTTTGGGAGGTGATTTGGTCATCCTGTTACAAATGGGATTAATGCTCTTCTAAAATACACGAGAGCTTGTCTTTGTACTTTTTCCCCCCATATACTAGGGACTGAACTCGTGATTTCATACATACTAGGCAAGCATTCTGCCACTTGAGCAATGGTCCCAGCCCTTCTTTGTCCCTTCAAATATGAAAGCAGAGCAAGAAGGTGCCACCCAGGAAGCCCAGTAAACGAGATAGTGAACTCTTGGTTCCTTGATTTGAACTTCCCAGCAGCCTCCAAAATTGTGAGCAACAATTTCCTATTGTTTATAAATTACCTACTCTAATGTAGATCCAACGGATAAATACAGACCCCTAAGAATTTCTTTGTTTACTTGTCCTAAAAAAGAATTTGTTAATTATTGGTATGTTCTTTATGAATCTGTGGTGATAACATGGTTGGCAGGACAGACAAGGTGTTGCTGGGGGTATTCTGGTTGAAGGGTATAGGAGGAATAAACAGATCAGCATGGATAAGCTAGGGGAGACCAGTAGCTGAGGTGGCCAAGGCCTCTGTGGCCCTGCTGTCAGTGCAGGGGGCACCTGGCACACGTGCCAGGGCTCTGCTACTCCAGAGACAGGAGGAGGCTGTGAGGCTATCTGATGGAGGGGATTAGAAATACCTAGTCTTGGGGCTAAAGACTCTCAGCCACTGGGCTGGGAAGGTGGCTCAGTGGTAGAGCACTTGTCTTGCATGCCTGAGGCCCTGGGTTTGATTCCTCAGCACCACATAAGCAAAAAGAAAAAAGGCAGAAGTGGCGCTGTGGTTCAAGTGGTAGAGCGCTAGCCTTGAGCTGAAGAGCTGAGGGACAGCGCCCAGGCCCAGAGTTCAGGCCCCACAACTGGACCAAAAAATAAAAAGACTCTCAGCCACTAGGCCTCACTTCTAGGAAACAACATTTCCCAAAGATTCCTTCCAGCCCTAATATCTGAGTACTCCCCATTCCTGATACATCCATCTACATGGCTTTCTACTGGCAAAAAAAAACAAACAAAATTGTATCTCCCATCAAACCTAGGGCCTTGCACATTTTAGACAAGTGCTCTACAACATCCCTAGCTCAAAGTTGTATTTTTTTTGTCAGTCCTGCGGCTTGAACTCAGGGGACGGGGGCACTGTCCCTGAGGTTTTTTTGCAAGGTTAGCACTCTACCACTTTGAACCACAGCTATACTTCCAGTTTTCTAGTTGTTAATTGGAGATGAGTCCCATGGACTTTCCTGCACAGGGTGGCTTCAAACTGTGGTTCTCTTATCTCAGCCACCTGGGTAGCTAGTATTATAGGTGTGAGCCACCAGTGCCTGGTTTCCCAAGCTGTATTTTTTTTTAATCTATCAAATATCAAAAATGTCACTTCTGTTACTGAAATATTCATTCATGTATTTAAGAATCTGTGTCAAAACACTGGAAACTCTGGTAAGCCAAACTGTCTTAGTTAAAGCTAGATATGGTGGTACACACCTGTAATCTTTTTTTTTTTGGTCAGTTGTGGGGCTTGAACTCTGGGCCTGGGCACTGTCCCTCAGCTCTTCAGCTCAAGGCTAGTGCTCTACCACAGTGCCACTTCCAGGCTTTTCTGCTTATGTGGTACTGAGGAATCAAACCCAGGGCCTCATGCATGCAAGACAAGCACTCTACCACTGAGCCACCTTCCCAGCCCCCTAAACCTGTAATTTTAGCAAGTGGTAGATGGAGGCAGAAGGATCTTTAGTTCAATGAAAGCCCAAGCTATACAGTAAGTGGCTGTCTCAAAAAAAAAATTTTTTTTTTTGGGTCCAGTCATGGGGCCTGAATTCAAGTCCCAGGATAGGCACAAAAACAGATTAAAAATCTGATCCTACAATGTATGCTGAGGGAAATTCAGTGGCAGAAGGTTTCATTGATGATAAATCTTGAAGAGGAATTTGCTTTGTGCATGGAGCCAGAGGAGGAAGAATGTATCAGGAGGAAGGTATAACACAGTCTAAGTAATACAGGGCAGACTGAGGACAAACATTTCCCAAGCTTCCTGCACTGAGAAAGAAGAATACAAAGAGCTTGGCTACATCAACTGCTGGCCTCCTAGCTTATCCCTGTTCTCTGTTTAAGCCTTCACCTTTCAGCTAGGATTCTCCTGGTAGCACCCTGGAAGAGATGAATGATGGGAGAAGAGACACGGTTACTTGCTCTGTGAAGGCTCTGTGTTAGAAGCTGGGAAAATAAAGATGAGGCAATAGTCTAGAGAGGAAGACATAGAATGGCAGTATTTCTACCAGAGAATAGGAAATGTGCCACCCTAAGAAGTCTATTCTATGGGGCAATCAATAGCATTATTATCTCTCTCTCTCTCTCTCTCTATCTATCTTTGTGTAAGTCCTGGGGCTTGAATTCAGGGCCTGGGCCCCATCCCTGAGCTTTTGTGCTCAAGGATAGTACTCTACCACTTTGAGCCATAGCAAGCTAAGCAAGAGCTTATCGCCAGCGGAATAGCCATGGGAAGAGAGGAGAGTTCAACGTTGAGCAGATGGTTTGGGAAGACAGAGGGGACATGAATTTCATTTACTGTCCAAGGGAAAACAGAGGTACAAAGATATTAGTCAGAAACTGGACAAATTAATTCAAGGAGAACCTGTGCATGGTAGTAGAGGCAGAGGTGGAAGAATCACAAGTTCAAGGGCTACAGGGTGACTTCTAGTCCAGTCTGGGACATATGAGCTCAAGAGGAAGATGGGGAGCCAGTAGGAAAGAAGAAGTACCAGAGGCTACATCACTGATACGATTAACCAGGGAAAATGATGCAGAATAAAGAAAGGTTTTTCACAATTAACTTGAAATACCTTTTTCAGGAAAATCTTCTGGATGTGATTTCATATATGCAAACATGTCATGGTCCCTCAAAGCAAAAATATACTCTTGACGTCTTAAAAGATAATATCCAGCAAAAAAAAAGGAAGTAACATATAGAAGCTGGCGATGCAAACCTAAAATTAAAAAGTAAAAATTAGTCATTGTACATAAAGGATTACATTTTTTAAACAGTTCAGGTGTATAATCAACTCTTAAGCTACCTTTTCCAAGATTTGTGTGTGTGTGTGTGTGTGTTTGTGTGTGTGTGTGCCAGAACTAGGGCTTGAACTCAGGGTCTGGGTGCCATCCCTTAGCTTTTTTGCTCAAGGCTGGCA